TTGCAGACCATCCTTCCCCACATTGCAGGTGCCCCAGGCTCAGTTTTGTGATTGTAGTTGACATTTGTTGATTTGGGGACATCCAGCCAGATGGACCAGGCTGACTGACAGAGATGGGGAATCAGTTTTAAACCCCTAAGCTCTCCTCAAATCACTCAAATGCTTCCAGGAAAATGCATCTACCATTCAGTCCTGTCTATGTCTTTATTTATACATTTCCCAAGCCCAAAAAGCCCTCTTTGATGTCCAGAGCATCTCGTGGGTTTCAGCTATAAGCAAGCTGGAGAAACACTCACCAAGACGGAACTTATCTGCATCAAGGGCTGCTCCATCTCAGCCCAACTACTGCTGGTCCTCCCAAACCCCGCAGGTAGCTGGAGAAGGCCGCCAGTGATGAACCCAGCCAGCAGCATCATCCAGGATGTAGGCAATGGAAAATGAGATGTTACTAAGTTTGGCCGGGCTGAGCTGGCTCCTCGCGGGTCCCAGCCTGTGAGTCACCGGTACGTGGGCCACCAGCACGGCCTCCCCTCTGGAGGAAGGAGTGGAGGTGGAAAAATAACAAGAGGAAACCAGCTGTTAGTAGTGCCAGCTCTGGGGAGAGTGGGAGGAGGTGGCAGGCCTGGAGAGAAAGGTCAGGGCCGCATTTCAGGCTGCTTCCTGATTTTTCCTCCTGCCTTCATGGTAGGAAGCTGCTTACAGGAATACGCTTGTGGACAATGTGTGGAGGGTCTGGGCTGATCTGAGGGATGGGCTCTGTGGGGGAATGAAAACCTCCAAGAGCAGCCAGTAGTGATGGAGCATTTGTTTCTGGTCCCTGCTCACCCATCTCTTCTGGTTGCTCCTCTGACTTCTACTGAGTTAAGCTTGATTACCCTGTTGAAAGCAACTTTTAGCCCAATGCAAACAGTGTAAAAGAAGATGCACTTTGCAGATGTACTTGGAACAGACACATCCATCTCCCCACTGTGGAGACTCCCACACCAGTGCAGAGTGTTTGTTGCCCAGTCCCTACCCCCTCCTGGTGCTGATGCCCATCTGCAGCTAAGCCAGAGACTCACACTTGTTGTGCCGATCCTTGGTGACAGTACTGACAGGGGGAGACCCAGAAATGGATCAGGAGCCAGTGGTTCTGTTCCTTGTCCAAAGCCAATGCAACGAAAATATTAATGGGGGACACACTCACTAAAGGATTGCAGGTCTCCAACCTCTTCTCGTGCCTCAGCTCTGTGACTGGTGCTGACTGCAGTGCACCAGTGGGGACACAAGCCTCAGCTACTGTCCCCATGTCCCTGCCATCAGTCCAGGAGCACATACAGGGCTGTGCCACGCCAGCTCCCCATTCCACAAGGATATGTGTGGCTGTGGATCAGCACTTCTGCTACCCTTTGCCTTGCAAGAACTCCTTCTCTCTTGAACCCTCCAGTCTGACAGTTGCCACCAGTTGCCACTGTTTTTTCTCACCTCCAATTGCAAATGCACAGAGCCAGATTGTCTCCCTGGCACTTTCTGTAAGTGAAAAGTATTTCTTCATGTCTTCAAGGAAATTGTAACAGCTGCCAGGGAAAAAAAAAGGCACAGCCAGGTAGGATGCCAGGTCAAGGGGTAAACTGCTGTGTGATTCTCTCCAGTTATTGCCTGGAGATGTCTCTTCTCCATGACTGGGACTAGTCCTCTCACTTTGAGCCAGGAGCGGGATCTGTTATGCTCAGGCTCCCTCTAGTGCCTCCATGTCCTGTTGTTCCTGGCTTCTCTGGAGGCGTGTTGGTCCATTTGTCCCTGGGGACTGCCAGTCATCCTCACTCCCCTCCATCACACCTCGGGCTTGCAGCCCAGCCAAGCCCTGTTTGCCCACAAGCTGGGAACAGCCCACAAACTGCCCCAAAGCCATCACAGCCTGCCAGGGACCTCTTGGGGACCTGCCAAACAGCCCAGCCCTGCCTCTGCCTGCTGGGGCAAAAGGAGGATGATGGAGGTGGCCGTATCCCACAGGATGCTCTCCCTGACAAGGCACAACTCTGCACACAGCAGCTCCACCTCGATTGTGTCTCCAGGGAGCAAGGCAGGATGAGTGATGGGTGGCAAGTGCCCGAGCTGCCCTGGGAGCAGCCCAGGCTGGGAGTGGGCACCTTCGCAGTGAGCCAGCTGGGGTAGCCGAAACCATCACTGCACTCTCCCCACTGCTTGATACCTCTCCCCAGGGGAGCAGCTTTTAGGGGTGTCCCACAGTCCATGCCAAGCAAAGTCAGCTGAGCTCCAAATCAACACCTGAAACTGTTTATCACTGATTTTGTCTGGTGTGGAGGACACTGAATAGCAGAGGCCACCTCTGTACTGGGGCACGGCAGAGCTACACTGCTACATTGTGTCCAACATGAACGCAGCCTTTCCTTGTCTTCTTCCTGTGGAAATGGGGAGGAAATTTCTTAATGTCTTGGGAAATGACTGGCCTCAACCTCCATTCAAGCCCTACTTGTAAAACTCATCCTGGCTCAGCTCTGGCATCAGCACCACGCTGGGCCATGGACAGCCCTGCAAGCACCCCTGTTTCAGAGAGCACCGTGCAGAGCTGGGGGCAGCCTTATCTTCTCACATAACAAGAAATTAGTGATATTTTCCTGGTTTATACCTGCAGAGTGCTTGGACTGGGCACCGAGCTCTCTAGAGTCCCTGGCATTACTAAATGGGAATAGCTGTGGTAATTCATCACCCCAAGACTAATGTCAGCTCACAGGGAGGGAGGAGGCAAGGTTAGGGGAGTCTGCTGAAATGTGGTGTCAGCATGAAAACTGTGACAAACCCAACAGAGATCCCTTGGCACAAACGTGTGTGATGCAAGGACAGTGACTGAGATAACACGGTCCTCAAAGGCACTGCGAGATTTTTATGTTAACCTATGATTTTTTTCATAACTGTTTTGCTGCTGGAGTACTTACAATCCTATTTAATGAGCACAGCTCCTTTAATAGAGGACACTTGGGGTAACATGCGCTAATTAAGTCTGTAATAGCTAAAAGTATGATTAAAGGTTTTGAACTGGCCAATCATTCCCAGTAGTGCCATAATTAGAGATGTGGCAGCTCATCAGAGCACCAATTCAAGGGGGCTTGATCGCCCAATGGTACACACAGGTCTTGATCCTGCCTTGGATCATCCTTTTTACTTGATATTCTGCATTGGTTTGCAGTGATTTATAAACCACCCTGAATATGTTACACTCAGCCCTGTAAACTGAACACTCTTCCACAGTTTTATTTTAATAGTTTGTCTTACAGGTCTTGTATTTCACCTGGGCATTAAGCACAGCTTCTCTTATCCCCACCTGTCTGAGAGCTCATCCCATGTGGTCTCACCAGCAGCTGAGAAAGACTCCCAGGGAGCTCCAACAACAACAACTGCAGCAGGATAGTGAAAGAACTTGGAAAAGGTAGATGAAACCATAAAATAAACCCTTTTGTTTCTTCCTATGAAGGAAGGCTCAGAAATGAGTGGAAAAGATCAAGAGTTTTTGTAATCTAATGGCCAACATAAGGGCACCTGGCAGCCTGTTTCTCTCTGCCTTCTGCAATGCAATGGAGGCAAACACACCTCTGGGACTCAGTTCTGTCTCCCACTGAGCTCAGCTCTTTGCACTATCAGGAAAGTCAGGATTTCCCTCTGCTGTTGGCTGCAATCAGCTGGCCACAGTGTTGTACAAGTAAAGACTGCAGCTCACTACAGTGGAAGGAATTTAAAAAAACAACAGAGTTTAGAAAGTCAGAAGTTTGCCTATCAAGGAGGATTTTGAGCAGGCTTTTGTACTCGAGCTACAAAATGCCAGTAAAAAGAATATTGCTATTTTTCATCTATTTTTCTCTATTTTTGTAATAGAAATAACTTGTTCACAGGTATCTGAACCTGAGGCAGAGAAGCAATTGCTCTGCAAGCAATCACTGAATGACTGGAAAAAAATGTCCAGGTCTCTCTCCCATGTACTGGTCCTGGGGCTTTTGGTCTCTGGGCTGTCTTTTCCAGTCTAGGTTACTTTAGACAATTCACTTGTGCCTCTCATTGTAAAATAAAAGCAATGCCATAAAAATATGTCCTATTGCTGGTTACCTGGAGAAGAGCCCGACCCCCACCTGGCTACACCCTCCTAATAGGGAGTTGTAGAGAGTGATGAGTTCTCCCCTGAGCCTCCTCCTCTCGAGGATAAAGACCCCCAGCTCCCTCAGCCACTCCTCATAGGACTTGTGCTCCCGACTCTTCACCAGCCTCGTTGCCCTTCTCTGGACACGCTCCAGCCCCTCAACATCCTTCCTAAACTGAGGGGCCCAGAACTGGACACAGCACTCGAGGTGTTTGAAAGCAAACACAGATAAAGACGAACGGCGTTCAGTGACCCTGCCGTGAGGAACATTGCCCGTGTGTGCCTGCATTGCCCGAGCGTGGCTGAACGAGAGGATAAACTGCAGCGCACAGGAACATCGGGACCCGCCTCCCTCCCCTGGGACACGGCGGGGGACATGTTGGTGTGGGGACCGTGTTGTTGCGGACTGCGCTGTTAAGGGGAGCAGTGTCTCCAGGGGCTGGGGTCCGCCGCACCGCTGGGTGTTGCGGGGTGTCCCGGTGCGGGAGCGAGGCCGCAGCGGGGTGGACGCAGAGCGGCAGCGCGTTGCAGGGAGCGGGGAGGCTGCGGGGCGGAACCACCGCCGGGCGGAACCACCGTGCGCGGGGTTCCGGGCGGCGCCCTTTCCCGGCAGCCCCCGGGTGCCTCCGTCTCATTCGGCCGGCGGCGGCGAAGTTGGCTCGTGTGAGGCGGGCCCGAACAGACCGGACATCGGCACCATCCGGACCCATCGCGGACCCATCCGGACCGCATCGGGGCTGCCGGGAGGGGCCGGGCCGGGCTGGAGGGTGTCGGAGAGGGGCGATAAGCGGAGCTTGGGCTGGGCGGGCGCTAGGCAGGCGCTTCTCCCCTGCTGGCCCCCCCGGCTGAGTCGTTTGTGTTTCTCCCGCAGGTGCGACCATGGCCAAGTCCAAGAACCACACCACGCACAACCAGTGTGAGCGGGGCTGAGGGGCTGCGGGGAGGGGCGGCGTGGGCCGAGGGGCTTTGACCCGCTGCTGTGACCTGTGGTCGTGGCAGCGGCAGGCTGCCAGGGGCTTGCAGCGAGGCGAGGCGGTGGCGTGCGGGAGTAGAGTGGTGTGTTTGTTGTAAAGAGCTTGGTGAGAGTCAGGGCTTGTCTGGGCTCAATATAGAACTAATACGTAACCAGGAAAAAGGCAAGTTTCATGTTTGCAAGTTTCACGTTTGAGACACTCTCTTTTCTCAGACAGCAAGCAACAGGACAAGAGGGCACAGTCTTAAGCTGCACCAGGGCACGTTTAGGTTGGACATCAGGAAGAAGTTCTCCATAGAAAGGGTGCCTTAATATTGGAATGGGCTGCACAGGGAGGTGGTGAAGTCACTGTCCCTGGAGGTGTTTAAGAAAAGACTGGATGTGGCACTGAGTGCCACATTGTCTGGTTGACAATGTGATGTTTGGTGATAGGTTGGACTTGATGACCTCAGAGGTGTTTTCCAACCTCATTAATCCTGTGATGATCATCACTGAGTATGGAGAGGGAGTCTTTTACAAGAATGTGTAGTGACAGGACAAGGGGGAATGGCTTCACACTGATAGAGAGCAGATTTAGTTTGGATGTTAGGAAGGAATTCTTCCCAGTGAGGGTGGTGAGGCCCTGGCAGAGGTTGCCCAGAGAAGCTGTGGCTGCCCCATCCATCCCTGCAAGTGTCCAAGGCCAGGTTGGATGGTGCTTGGAGCAACCTGGGCTAGTGGAAGGTGTCCCTGCCCATGGCAAGGGGAATGAGGTGATCCTAATGGTCACTTCCTAGTTCTGGGATTCCATAATGCTACTGGATGGTGTTCGGACTGTGATACTGTGCCATCCAAAGATGAGCACCTTGATAAAATAGTTCTTTTTTGGCGTCTTCTCATCAGTGCTGTAAGTTAGCAAAGGCCACAAGTAGGTCCTGCTTGGTCCTGTACAGTTGAGAGTGACACATTGTGTTGATAGTCAGGTACACTTAAAAGGAAGCTCTTACAGCTGCTTAATAATAGCAGAAATTGTCATTTAAATAATTTTCTTGTTTTCCACACAGCCCGCAAGTGGCACAGAAATGGCATCAAGAAACCCAGGTCCCATCGATATGAATCTCTCAAAGGGGTGAGTATTTCCATTGGTATTCCCAGGCTGTTGAACCACCATGTTTTAACCATGAAAAACCCCAGTATTTGTATTATTTCGTTTCTGTTATATCTTCTGCTTAAGTTATGTGCAGCTGTGATATTTCTAGCCCACACAAAATCTGCCCTTCTGTGTCTATGAAACTGCATTTAAGTTATTGGCCAGTTTTGTCTGTGTCCTGCTCTGGTGGGCATCACTAACTGCTGCTTCCAGTGAAACAAACATCTGTCAGCTGGATGGTTCCTCTCTCTTTTGAGTCCTGCTGTGTCTCTTTCTCTATATCCTTCAATATTGTTCTAATCCAGAGAATTTTCACTCACAAAATGAGAAGAATTGGCATTTCTGGCCAGAACACATGAAAGTGAAAGTATATTGGGTTTTTTGGTGAGATTTTCCAAGTGATAGAACAGGATGTTTTTCCACACTTGAAAGTGAAAACAGGACATCTTGGATTTGGGCAGGGCTGTGACTCCGTTTGCCTTGTAGGTGTGATGATAAGGGTTTTGGATGTGATGTAAAAGCATCTGCAAAGCTCAGTGAGGGTTCAGTCCTGCCCCCTCCAGTCCAGCAGTCCCCTCACACTGTGCATGGGTTAAGAGGACAAAATCCTGATGTTCCTCTGTGCTGGTTAAAATTCTTTTTAAAGAGAAGTAGCAAATGTTTCTCAGTGCAGCAGTAGCTGATAGTTCTGAGCATTGGTCCCAGCCATGACAGGATGGGCCAGCCAGTAGCTGACAAAACCTGAGGTGCTGCTCTTCTCTGTACTGGGTTTTTTGCCTTTAATGTAAAAAGGAAAGACCCGAGGAAGCAGCATTGGTCTCTGCCCAAGGATTACATGTGTATGTGCTCAGCTGCCAAAGTTGGTTTGTGGTACTCCAGGTCCAGAATGTCTCGTGACATGGAAATGAAGTTTGCCTTGTTTACAGCTTTACTTGTCCTTTCTGTGGGTTTATTGCTGGAGTATTGGATTTTTTTATGTGTATGGCAATTAAGGAAAATAGCTGTTAAAGGATGGTTACAGGTGGCTAGAACAATTTTATCAAAAAATTAGGGAAAAAAAATCTGAATTAGTCACAGCCAACATTTGGGAGTAATTAAAACAAACTGAAGATATATATGTTTTTACAGGTTCCTTCTACAACATGGCTTATTTTCCCCTGTTTTTTACAGGTTGATCCCAAGTTTCTGAGGAACATGAGATTTGCAAAGAAACACAATAAGAAGGGGTTGAAGAAGATGCAGGCCAACAATGCCAAGCAGGCAGCTCAGCAGGCTGCTCAGCAGAAAAAGGACTAATGGGATTTAATGAAAAGAACCGATTTTCCTATTAGCATGTGTTACAGCATTTTTTTAAAATAAAATTGTATGTAACAAAATCTTCATCTTCTGAATTTGAGGGCCCTCCAGAAGCCTGAGCTGGTTTGTATTTTCGGTGCCAGTTGCGCGTTGAGCCTGTGAATAGTGACCAGTGTGTGTTTTGGTTCTCTGGCAGATCAAGCCAGTCAGAACTCTGGTGAGGTTTTGTGTTAAAACCCCTCTGTTAGCACCTGGAGAGGGGTTTTCTGTTTGTTGCCAGCCACCACACAAGGGAAGTGAAACACCTGCCCCCTCCCCAGTGCTGTTCTTCTGTAATTGGTGGTACATATCGTGAACATTTAGTAGTTCAAAGTCTCCTTTCAAGTAGTGAAATGGTTATTGATTGATGCTCTGAAATTTAGACAAGAAATAAGTTGTTTCTTTCCATCCAAATTTGAGCCAGTGTTGCCTGTACTCTTGGGTTACAGTATTCAATACAGGTAAAATTTGCTTTCTCATGTACCATGACTTTTTTTTAATAATTGTTGAGTTTTGCAGGGGCTGTTACTTGTGCACTGCTTTGCTGTGTGGGTAAGGTGGTTACAGCTGTGGGAATCCTGAAAAATAAGAGAGTAAGGAGTGCTGGCTATGAGACCACAGCAATTAGTTTTAGAGTTGGTCTGTGTTGTATTGTGAGGTACTTGAAAGTATTTAAGTGTTAAAGGAGCTACCCATGGGACTGTGCAAGGTTTTAGAAATACATAAAGATATGCATTTTATCATAGTTTCTGTATTTTAGGGAATATCTTTTATTCCAGTAACAGAAGTACCTAATCTGATGTGTCGGTGAGATGAGGGGAAATCACATTCAAAAGGCCGGGAGGTTTTGCAGCCGGGTTTTGTTCTGCTGTCCTTCTCTACACCAGGAGAGGGCTTCACTCTCCGAGTCTCCCTTACCAGCAAAGCTGGCTCAAGACGTGGACCACCTGTTAAAATGCGCCCAGCTCTTCCTGAAATTGCAGTTCCAGCGCTTGTCCACCCGGTGGGGTAAATCCATGGATCCACCCGAGGGCTGGAAGTTTACACGTAGCTTCTCACTGCAGTAGAGCAGCAAAGCACCTGCTGGATAAAAAACATTATTTCAACTGAAACATCCAATTAATGTCGTTGGTTTTTTTGAATAGGTGAGCCAATTAGCAAAATTCAACGCTACTTTGAAGCAAGGCAAATACTTTATTTTTTTCTGGCTTGAGTTCAAAAGCCCTTTCCCAGTTCCTACTTTTTAATAGGTTTTGACTGACAAGAAATACCACCCTAAACCAAGCAATCTAAAGAGATTAGCTGCCTTAAAACTCACAGGTTGAGGGGTTTGTGAAGTCAGTGGTGTCTGCAGCTCTCAGCTGTCTGGCTCCTGCAGTGTGCAGCTCCTGGACTGTTATGGAGATTGGTGTTAATTGTCGTGTGGGTCCGGAGGGGTTTGGTGCTGCAGAGTGTGTGCAGTCACTGTACTAAAGTGACAAAAGGTTGTTTGGTCCCTGCTGCCCTCAGGTACACCAGAAGGACAACTGACAAGAGATTCTTCACGGTTTTAATCCTCCCTTTGGCAGGTGGTAGATCACCCAGAGACAGATGCACAGTGCTTAAATCTGCTGGCTCTCGAGCTGCGTGGCTGGTGCCTGCCCTGCCTGAGCCAGTTTGTCTCCAAAGGTAGGACTGTGTGGCTGTGGTTTGGGTTACTGTGCACATCTGGCAGCCTCAGCCCTTGCCCAGAGCTGCCCAGCAGCAGCCTTGCCTGGCTGGCAGAGATGTCCCCTTGGGTTGTTGCTGGTGTTGAAGAAAATGGAGTGGCTGGTCCAGCTGCTGCAGGTGTGTGTTGTTACAAGAGCAAAAGAAAAAGCCTCTGAGCAGAGGAATTAGTGTTTGTCAATTTAGACCTTCACCTGTGTGTCTGCAGCTCTCCTACATGGTTTAAGTTCTGCATTTTAAATCTCTAGCACTAAGACTTTTCCATATAAGAAGGGAGATTTCATCTCATCCCCCTTGGTGTCTTCCCCTGAGTGCTTGTATTGTGGGAGTAGCTCACCCACAGGATGCAGTTTGAGGGAAGAGAGAGAGGCGAGGGTCAGGCTGAGAAGAGGATGTTGGCATGTTACTGAGAAGCAGCGGGCAAGATTTGGGCTTCCTGTGGCTCCAGGCAGCAACCCCAGGCCTGCCTTCAGAAGCAGCCTTTTCATGTCACTGCCCTTCATGCTGCCCTTCAGTGGGACAGCTTCCCAAATATGGGCTTGCTGACTTTCTGACCAAAATAGCGGCTGCGTGACAAAATGCAGCACAGAGGAACGTAACCTTAATCCAGGCATCATTGTGTAGCAGGAGACAGGAATTTTGTGAACTTCCACAGCAGGTCGGTGTCAGGTTTGTTGTTGTCTGCTCCCTGCACACATGGTGGTCCCACGGGACGCTACCCTGATATCAGCTGACCACCTATTGGACTTTGTAACCCTGTGACAGCTCAATTCATGGCTTCCCTCCTTGTCGTACAGGTTGCCCGAACCCAGAAGGAAAACCTGTGAAGGGGAGTCTGTGCTGACATTGCCTTGTGATGAGTCTTCCTCTTTTTTTTCTTGCATTGTGAAATCATTTAAGTTCTGTTGGTGAAGTGAGGCTGGAGATCCATTTTAGGAGCATTACATATACAGAGCCCAGGAGGGGGAACTGGCAGCTGTGGCCCACTTGATACTATTCCCATTATGCAGAGCTGTGTCATCTTTGACATTTAAAAACTTCAAAACTCTCGTGATTAAGTGCTTGGTATCCTGCAGGAAGCCAAAGAGCTTGAGAGCATCTCAATGCTTAATGACTCTTAGACATCTCGTGCTTGCTGCTGCTGTATGTCATACTTGCTGCAGATGATTTCTCCCCTGTGCAATTAAGAGGACTCATATCAAGTTTCCAGTTTGGCTCCTTTCTTTGCTTCAATTTGAAAAAAAAAAAAGAGCAAAGGGCACATAACCAAATACTGAATCAGCTCGTTTGGCAAAAGTAGAGCCATCACGGTGAAAGCCAAGAGCACAGAACTGGGGAGGAGAAATCAAAGCCCTGTGAAACGCTCTGATGGGGGACAGCTTTCACTGGCAACGTTGATGTTCACCATGAAAATGAAAAGTAGGGCTGGATACATGTCCCCCTTTATCGCCTTTCGATAGTGTAGTCAAGGAAAAGCAGCAACAGAACGAGTTCTGCTTTGCCCAGGTTTCACGGTTGTTGCAGGTGTTCCTACACCACAGTGGCTTTGGCATGGTGGAGTGTTTATCCCATGTACCTTAGCTCATGTTACATTGCCACTGCCCTGGTGGCAGATTTATGGCTGTAAGCAAGATGCAGAGGTTTCATTAGGGCAGCGTGTACAAAATTTCCTTAGATCTTGCTGCAGTCACTTGGTTCATATAGCAGTTTTATTGAGGGTTGAAGAGAGGCTTCAAATATGGTGATAAAGCTGAAAAACTGAGCAGAAATTAAATCTGCTGCCAGTAAAGGCAAGCAGATCAAATGGCCTGGGAACTGTGGCTCTGTCCAGTTGCAGATACATGGACTACTCAGGGTGGTTGTCATTCATCGTTAGCACATCCCCCTCTGTGGGGGCTTCAACCAGGCCAGTCCTCTTCTAATGACTGTTTTTTCAGCCAGCTCACCCACTCACCGGCCTGTCATGTCATGTTACATTCCTCGTGCAGTTGTTCCCGTGTTTTAGCCAACAGTGAAATCCACCCACAGCTCCTCACCCTGCAGCATTTGCTGTCTGGCTCTGGGAGGACAGTCAGTGTGTTAAGGCAGACTGGCCTGGCAGCAGTTTTCGTGGCTCCCCGCAGAGCATGGTGACCTGCTGGCACCTCTGCTCTAAGGACTGAAAAAGCCTAAATAGTCCCAGTGTTTCTGTTCTTCTAGCGACAAATTTCAGCTGCTACAAGACCTTTGTCCTCTCTCCCCAGCCACAACCTTCTCTGTTTTACTCTCAGAAAAGAGTAAAGGCAGCCAGTGAGGCCGTGGTGTGCTGCTGCCTGTGCCATTGAGCCAAGGGGGGAGAGACAACACACAGAGGCAGGTGGCTCTTTCCAGTCATCCTTTTCCCTGGGCCACAGCGCAGTCCAAGCCACCAAGCTGACTGAAGGAAAGGGGTTAACCTTATTTCTTCTCTTCACTCTTCAGGGGTCTAAACCCTCTCAGTAAGCAGTGGAGAGTATCTTGGAGAAGTCCTTTTTGGATGTTGGGATTTGGACAGGACAGAGGAAGATAATGGGGCTGTCAGCGATGCCTGACGTGATGTGAGTGCAGGAGTGGGTTGCCATGGGCTTGATGGCCGTGGGTGTGGGGACAGCTGGTGTCACCTTGGTGAAGCCCAGGTATTTGCAACTCTCTGGAGGTTTCCATCTCTGGGGTAAAACACTTTTCAGCTGTGTCCTCATAAGCAGGTCTCAATGGGAAATGACTTCTGCTGCTACACTGGGGAGGTGGAAGGTGTTTGTTTTTGATCTCTAGGCTACAGATTCATTGGGAACAAAAGACTGTAACACCTGGGAGCATTTCCTATCACTGAATTCTTAGCACATTTCCATGTCTGTTGGTTTCTGGTGCACCTGGAGTCCTGCTGAATCCGCAGTAGCTATGGTATTGAGGGCTTGGGATTCTCGGGGAGACCCCTCTGGGCACATCAATCAATATTTGCATTAGGGGTCTTCCCAAAATACCCTGGGTTTTAAGGATAATCAGCTGATCTAGCTGACAGGTTAATTTTCTGTTTTCCTGGTGTTACAAGACCTGGTTGAGCAAAAGATTTAGTGCTTGTTGTCCAGAGGAAAGACGCAGCCATGTCCTTCCAAACAATCAATAACCACTCTCAGGCCTGTTTTCACCTCAGGCCCATTTATCCTGAATTACAATATTTCATTATTGCTTTAGATGAGAGTGAGTGTCACAGCAAATACAGCTGCTCAGGGTGTTATTTCCACAGAGAGGGGAGAAAAAGCTGGTTTGTGAGAAAGACAGAAGGACAATGCAGTGGACGTGGGGCACTGGCATGTGGCAGCATGGCCGCCCTGGGCTGAGGGCAGCATCGCCCTGACACGGCCTCCTGCCTTGCCCTGCCAATGTTTATTTTGCTTGGGTAAACGTTTGATTTTAGCAACACGACTGCAATGTGTGAGTTGTGCTGGGGCTGTAATTCGATGGGAGGAGGCAGCTATGTGCAGGGAGAGCTGCTAATGCCGAAGGAATGCTGCGCTTCCTCGGGACCAGAGAAGATGGCGCCTGGGGCCCCTGGGGACAGCTCGGCTCCTTGACCCTGCTGTCACCCTGCGCCCGGGAGCTGAGACCCAAAGTGGGGTCTTTCCTTGCTCAGGGCCCTTGTGGCCCAAACGGATGTGATTTCTGAGGGAAAACTGGGTGTTTCACTTGTTGCAGTGAGGCTCCCACCCAGGACTGGAGGAGGACTATGAGGTGCCGTGGGGCTCCTCACCAGGCTGGGTCAGACAGGAAGGAGGCACCCAGTCAAGCTTAGGAATGGCTTTTATTCATGTTTCCAAGGAAAACTGAGATCTTCTTTCTGCATGTGCCACAGGGTGACAATCAGGATGGCAAGACGGGGTGTCCTGTCAGGACAGCAAGGTGAGAGTAGGGAGGAGAGGTACTGTCCCTCACCCATGGATGTCAGTGATGGCCTAAGTGGTTTGTAATTCCCATTTCTTTGCTAAAATGCTGCTGATGCTCCAGTTAAGCCAGCAGGCACCAGTGCCAGCTCCCGAACCTTCTCACCACGGCAGGGGTGAGGAGATGACAGCTCCCCACCAAGCAGATGGCCCTGTTGGATGGACTTTGTCGCTGGACTGGCAGCAAAATACCTCCTTGGAGAATTAAAGCTCCAGCTGTGATGTCACCTTGCCAGAAGTGGTCCCCAGGAGTGACCCCATTAGTCATGAGCACACGACTGGGGTGAAGCTGTCACTAAACCTCTAAGGAAAGACCGTCTGAGGCACTGGGTATTAACAGGTTTTATTTCCCCCAGCCACCCTTCTCAGCACTCAGTCTTCATGCCAGTAGCCAGGGGATTTAAGTCAAGGAGATGAGATGCAGAGCTGGAGGGGTTTAGGAGATTCGAGCTGTCCATCGGGCCTCAGATTTATTCAACCCCCTTCATAAACTCCAGGAACTCTGCCAAGGGGAAGACATTGGAGACAAGAGGTGTGAGGTGAGACCAAAGTGCCCTCGCAGCTGCCAAGTGCGCTCTTGGCAGTTTTCCCCAGCCCTGTCTCCTTTTCCAACCCCCCAGCGTGCAAGAGGCCGAGGGTGGATGGCTACTGCTCCTCTGACTGTGGCAAGGACTCCTCGTGACTCCTGCTGGAAATGTCACTGGAGCCCTGCGTCACCCTCGGCTGCCACCAAAACACTGGAGGTGAGTGTCCAGGGGAGGGACACAGGTGCTGACTTAGCTTGGAAATGGTCTGGGGGTTGTTTTGGCAGCATCACATTCAAAATTATGGCATTTTGTAAATGGTGCTTGTGTTGAGAGGGTAGGAGGAGACAGGCAGGTCTCTGGCGAAAAGTGGCAGTGCTTCAGTGCAGGCTGGCCTTCACAGCATGGGGACAGTGAAGGCAGCCCCGGGTTCCTGCTACCATTTCACAAGAACAAGAAACCCCCCTATCCCTCTGCACACACACTGCTGTCAGACATATTGCCCAGCAGTGTCTGCATGAGCTCGTGCCCATCCAAGAAGGTAACCAAGACTGTGGGAGCTGCCCAGGGCTCCCTCAAGGGTTCGTGACCGAACCACATGCAAGAAAGTCCTACCATCATAGTCAATCCTGCCATCATTGTTTTTATCCCCATCTTTCATCAGTTCTTCTATGTCATCCTCGGTGATGGTCTCTCCTGTCGCCTGCAGCATGATCTTCAGCTCCTCGAGGTCGATGTAGCCATCAGCGTTTCTGTGAGGGGACAGAAGAGCTCAGGAGCAGACTGACACACCAGGGAGGGGGAGTTGAGGTGGTTGCACCCCTCCCAAAACCCTGCCACGGTCATAGCTCTTACTTATCAAACATCCTGAAGAGGTCTGAGAGTTCCTCTTCGGTTTTTCCTTTGCTGTCATCTTTCATACACCGGACCATCATAACAAGGAACTCATCGAAGTCTACGGTGCCGCTGCCTGCAGGCAGAATAGACACCATCAGCTGGTGCTACGGTGAGTGGATGGGCAACACCAGGGAGGGATCACACTTCCCTTTGGCAACCAAGAATCAAAACACAGGAGAGCAGCTCTGCAGCAAGAGGCAGTTTTCAAGACATGGGAGGCCCTGCTCTGACTTCATCACTGAATTTTTACCTTTTGCAGTCTTTTTGCCTTGGAAAAAATCCTTTTAGAAGCACTGATGAATGGAAATTCCTGCTATGGAGGTACCTGTCCATCTCACCCAGGTATTAATATTAAAAGCTCCAGAAGGCAAGTATTCATGCCAGTGTGGTTTTGCACCCACAGTACAGTACTGTTGTTTTCAATGAGACAGCTGTTTTCCTTTTCTGCCTGATTTTTAACTGCTTTTTTTATTTTCCAGTTATTTAGTATGATATTTCTGCCCAAATGCACATGGTGGATTTTGTTACATGTGATCACCAGTACACTGATTTAATCAATATTGACAGTTAGTTATGTGGGGTTGTATACACTCGAGCAGTGAGAGATTTTCCTGATGATGGAATGCTGTAACTGTGGCACTTCTGAAATGGCAGTTTCTACATTCAGCCTACATTTTGTTTTTTAAATGGATCTATGCAATTTCAAAGCACCCCCTCAAAATCAGTTCAAGCAGTCTGATCATTGTAGGAATAATAATTTTTATAGTTTCTCTTTGCCTGAGAATTTCCTAAAGGAAAAATGCTGCAGTTTGGTGAGTGTTTGGTGTCCTTTGAATTCACAACACAGCAGGTTGCTCCCTACAGCTGTGACTCCCCAGCACGGGTCCTGCCAGTGCTGCACAGATGGCCCCCATATCTCCAGATGTGGAGAGTGGAAGAAACCCAAATCTCTCACCGTCCTCATCCACCTCGTCTATCATCTCCTGCAGCTCCTCAGGGGTGGGATTCTGCCCCAGCATCCTCATCACCTTCCCCAGCTCCTTGGTGCTGATGCAACCATCCTCTGCCCCCGACACGAAGATGTCAAAGGCAGCCTTGAACTCTGGAGAGAGAAACAGAGAGAGAGGAGATGTGGGGGGATCTTGTCGTGCACCTTGGCCCTGCAGACAGGTGGCCTTGGGGGCAGGGGGCTCATCCCAAGCACAGCCTCCCCCCCCCATGCCCCTCAGCATGGGGACACACACATAGCCTTGTTTGAAATCCTGGTGGATCAAGATCCCTGGGTCATGTCCTCCCCTGGCCAGTCTGACCAAAGCATTTTCCAGACTGTCATTGCTGAGGCAAGGGCTGGGGAGTTTGGTGTCAGGTTCAAGATGTACCTACCATTTTTTTGCTCTTCTGTCAGCTGCTCAACCTGCAAGGAAAACACAGAGACCAAGTAATTTTTCTTTGTCAGCATCACTGACAGGACACATTATTTTTTCAACAGCCTTTGCAAAGATCAGCCAAGTCTCACAAGTCACCCTCGTGTATTAGGGGATGTACAGCCAGTGGGGTTTTGACACCACAACTTTTTGTCTAAGAGATTATTCCCCTTAAAAACCCAATTATTCCCATCTCCTTTGAATCAAGCATCACTTCTCTAGAGTAGTAGCTCCTAATACATGGCAGAAATAGCCTTTGCACAGGCAGGGGAGTCCCACTGGGAAAAAGAATTTGCCTCCATCAACCATTTGGGATAATTTCTTTTTGCTGGCAGGCTTCACCACGGGATAGCTGCACTGCTGAGGGCTGCTCACATGTGGGCTCTGCCCAGGTCAGAGGTGGGATGTGCTTGAGAGGTCCCTGGGGAGGGAAAGGTGGACAAGACCATTCCCAGTAGTTGTTTTTCAGCCCTAGATTCAGGAAACTGCCTGCACTACCTAGAGCATTAACTGCTTTACTTCCATCTGAGTCAGTGTTATTACAAAGGGTCTTGACTCTGAAGAGGACTGCTATTCCCTTTAGCCTGTTTTGGGAATCTCCCTGAAGAAATGGCCTGTGGAGCCATTAGGCATTAGCTGAAATGGACTGGCAGATTGTTCCTAAACTCTGCCCTAATTCAATCCCCTCAGACCATCAGTGGGAGCTCATTAGTTAGTATGAATTAACAAAATAATCACTAAGGAGAGCAAAGAGGAATCAGTCAGCTCTGTGCCATACCTGTCTAAGTGCATTTCTCTCTTTGGCTTCATTCCTGCCTGCAGGTACTGCTTATCTAAAATTGCTGACCTCACCACCATGTCCAACTGCCCCTTTTACAGCATCCATGAAAACACTGACCCTTCCTATGCTGGTCAACAGCCTCTCTGGAGCCAGCCAGGTATGACCCCCCACCTGCACAGAGGGTGTCTGACCCCTCTAAAGTCTCCTTGCTGCCATCCCAATGCAAACAGTCCCCAACACCCATCCCTGCCATGTTTTGGTTGAGGCAAAACCCCACGATCCCAGGTTGTGGCACCTTGTCTTTGAGGGAAAGCTGAGTCTTTTGACCCCAAAGAGCAATGGTTTTGCAAAAGCCAGCTGGAAAACCTTCCTCCTTGCAGCAAGAGGCAGGGAAAGTACCTTTCCTTAGCAGGACAGAGCCTGTGGGAAGCAGGCAGAGAGCCTTCATCCTGCTCCCTGTGCACCAGGAGGTGAAGACTTTCAAGTCAGGAAGCGCAAAGGGCGGTGGCAGGATTTTCCTCCACTGCTGGAGGAAACCCAAGCCCATTTTGTCCCTGGTGCTGCTGAAGGCAGGCAGCAGCCAGCCCTCTGAGGATATTTTTTGGGCAGAGCAAGGGCAGCAGCCACACTCCCTTGGCCCCACAGCCACCATCCTGCTCTGTAATATGACCCTCTTGGGGCAGTCACTATTTATAAGCCTGGGTGAGAGGTGCTGGAGATAAAGATGAGCTCCCCAATTGTTCCCAGGCTTTGGAATTTATCCTTGCAGCCCTTTATCTGGACACTCGTCCCTGGCACTGTTCTAAGCACCGCTTAACAGAGCCTAAAAATGTTCCCAAAATAGCTTTGGGTTTGCACACCCTTATCTAGGCATGAGTGGGCAAGATGAAAATCCATTCGGTTCTCTGGCTGCATGTAGGGAATTTGGCATAAATATGATATTAATATATGCCATCAGCATGTGGAAAATACAAAAATATTCACTTTTGAAGCTTCCTTGACTTCTGAAGTGATAGATGTGGTGTGTGTAAATTAAATGCATTGTAACTACAGAGCGATATTTTTATCATAGAGATGTCTCTTGACCTGTTCATAGTGCCCTCTGGACATGGGTGCTGTTTGCAGATTTATTCCTCTTTTCCCTCCACATCATTGCAGGGACAGGTTTCTCTGGCTGAAGTGTGGGAAGGCAAGCTCTGAGCTTGGAGGTCACAGCACTGCAGCAGCCGTGGTAACACCAAATCTGCTGTATTTTGCTTTTATCAGTTATCCTCTCCATCTATCCCATGGTTCCATTTGACATCAGATAGGGGAAATTGAAATTCTTCAATTTTTTTTCCAGGTAAATGTTTTCTTATAGTTAAAACTGTGGGAAATAGATCCACAAAAATGCTGTTTGTCTCAGCTGTGCCTGGCTTGGACTTGTTTTGCCTCTGTAAAGGTGCTGGCAGTAAATGCCCAGGACTCAAGCCTCACATTTACCTAATTATGGGCATGTGGTCCCTGTACAATGAGGAGAGGGCCGATGCCTTGAGCCTCAGAGAACGTATTTAATTCAAAACCTTCATTAGAAAAGCCTGGATTTTCTTTGATTTTACAGGTTCCATTTTCCTCCCTTTTGGAGGTGGTGGTTGAGGGACTCAGCCTTCCCTGAGCCTTTTCACACTGTCAGGATCACTGCGGGGGTTCCATTTAACGAGGTTCAGGGCTGATCAGGACAAGAAAGGTGTGAGCATTGAGGGGTTTTTTCTTTAACTACCTACCAAGCGCTATATTCCTTCCCTCTAAAAACCTCGTAATTAAAATAGGACTTGTATGATGTATTTTTTGTGCGCTTGGTTAAAATCAAAGCTGGTCAGCTACAAACTAAAAAAAAAATTTAAAAAAGCACCAAAAAGCTCTTAATGTAACTCCAGTTATGGAAGGGATGCAGTAGCAATCCACACAGTCCAGAATCTATTTTCATCCTTATTCCACATGCACATCACTGTCTGTCTACGTTACAGAATAATGCAGTGTTCGTATTACAGACCAAATAGTTTGGGTTTACACAGAGAGTGCAGCATGCAGCTGTGGAAGTTAAAATAGCCATGAGGATGCTCCACGTTCCCCAGTGCATAGCTCACATTCTGGATCCTGCACAGCAGATAGCAGGAGCAGCAGAGCTGAGGAGAAGGTTTGGATATAATTTAGAAAAAACAAGGGTTTTTATAAATCGCCCCAAAAAATATTCAGCTAAGGAGGGGGAAAACATAGCAATTGCAGAATTATAAAGTACCAGAAAGAAGAGGCTGAGGTTTAACCCATAAAAATAATGTTTCCTTCCTGGGAAATGCTGCTCTGCTAGGTCTGGGCTAAAACTAGCAGCCACCTCTTAAAGTTTGAGTGTTTGGTTGAGATCTGTAACTTCACCTGTGAGGCATCTCCCTGCTTTACAGCAGGGAAACAGGGGACTACTTGTAAATAATTTAGCAGCACTGTTGAGAGTTTCACACTTATAAAAGGAGTGTGAAACGTCCAGAGCCATCAGCGAGAAAGGTCTGTGTGTCCTGGATGAGGATGTTGACTAAAAGTTGCTGCCCTATAATTGTTTCTTATTTGCATTTCTCGATTGAATTAAAGCTATCAAGGCTTTGGGGAATCTACTACAAAATCGCCAAAAATCCCTTTAGACCCCTCTCCCCAAACCACAGCCCCAAAGGGAGGCACTTACCGCTGCCTTATAAATGTCATCCATGGCTGGAGAGGGCGGGTGAGGGTCCGGGGGATGTCACGGTCACACTCTGCTGGCTCTGCCCCCGCTGGCCCGGCTGATATAGGGGGCTGCCCGCCCCGGGGGCTGGGACCAGCCCACCGGCAGCCCCGTATGCCCGGCCCCACAGGAATGCCTCGCCTGCATGCCTTGGGATGGGGACACCGCCGAGCCCGAGGCTGGTACGTCCGGGGCCAGCCCCAGCCCCGCTCCGGGGGCAGCTGGAGTTTTCCTCGTGACTTTGTTGTGGGAACAAGCGAGCACTTTCAGCCAGGGCTGCCGAAATTGCTGATATGTAGCGGTACTTAGCTCTCCTGACTGGACACGTGCCACCATGTCACCTCCACCTCCAGCGTGTTCCCCCTGGAAGCTGCGATACAGAGATCATAGTGTGCCTAATTAAATTGGGTGATACGGGAAAGGCATGTCTCCCAAAATATCCCTGTCTAGCAGCAAATGTGCCCCCGGGGCAGTGGGAACAGAGGGTGTCGGGGCCCCCTGTCCCCTCTGCGGGGTGTCCCCAAACCCATGGAGGACAGGCAGCCAGGGCTGATGTCCTGGGAGGAGCTGATGCCATGTGTGGGCGGGTGCCAAGGGTAGGGGGAATTTGCACTCCCGATGCCACGGAGGGAAGTGTGGAAGAAGATGGAGCTTTGCCTCAAGCTCCTGTTTGCAGCTGGGGCTGAAAATCGGGGGGAATCAGTTACCAAAAAGAGAGGTATCAACTCTGCTTGATTTCAGGGATAATTCCTGTTTTTTTAGGAAACTGGGACTCACCTCACCCAACCGTCAAGATGACCTGTCTCCACTGCAAATGGCTAAAATCCACACTCCTAGATTTACCGTGGATTTACCCCTCCACGATGGAAAGCAAAACACATCAAAAACCTCCAAGTGATGAGCAGCGTTTTCTCAGTCCAGGAAAAAGAGATTTAATCCAGCAACCGAAGTCAAACCTCTCCTTTTAGTGATTCAGGACTCCCTCTTGTGTCCAGAGGGGCTATGGATGGCTCCGGCACCTCAGGATACAAAGTCCCACCTCCAGCTGGCTCATACCAGCGTTAGTTAGCAAAACAGAAAATAATATTTGTGCAGCTGTTAGGTTTCATCCTTTCTAAAATCCCTTCTCCGTTTAAGAGGAATCATACTGCGTGGAAAAACCTGCTGTCCCTGTGGAACGCCCAGCCAAAGCAGCGTTAATCAGGGACCCTGCTGGTGTCAGCACAAAGTGAGGACATGGGTGAGCACAGAGCTGTCTCCACACCACATCCTCCCAGGTTTTGAGTCCTGAAGGATTAACTTGTTAGGAACTGTGGTCCTGTGGGTACCCACTGGCCTTGATTTACACAGCTTCAGCCCAGGTCTGCCTCCAGATGGAATAGCAAGGAAAATAGTTGCGTTTAAGGAATTAATTTTTGAAGCACTTAGTCTTGAGAGTTGGAACATGTTCATATTTTGGTTGCCTTGAACACAGAAAAAGCAGGAAAAGCTGCAAAGGGAAGTAGTTATTTTGTTAAAGGGCATTGGATCCTGTCCTTAGGTGAGGGCACAGGACGGGATGAAGGACCTGCTGTCATCCACAATTAAATCATCCCTCAGAACCTCCTGGGCAAGCTCATAGAGACCTTCCCAGTGAAGTGCTGCCCCAAAGCAAATACCCAAAGTGTCCCTGGCTGCTTTCTGCCCTCAGGATTCACTGTAGGTGCCAGCACTGGGCAGTACAAGTGCGAGGAATCACGCCTGGCCCTGGCCCTCTATCCTGGGAGGTGATGGCTCTGAGTCACCCCTCTGAAAACAGCCCCTGGGATGCGTCAGAATGTATCCAGGGCCAATGTAGAGCGGGAATGGGAGCTCTAACATGGCCTTTAAAAGGTTGTGGGTGCACTGCTGGAGCAGCTGGGATGAAATTCAGGTCGGGATGAGGAAGAAGGGTCTCTGTCTGCTTAGAGGAAATCTGGGCCACTGCCACCATACACACTGACGTGGGATGGCTGCACTTCTGCAAATGTCTGATATGAACAGGGACTTACAAAACAGAGCTGTGCCTGGAGGGAAAGGATGAAATCCATCTGGTGACAGGAGATGATGTTCCTCCCAGGGAAGGAGGCACAGGCGAGGGGCATCGTGCCAACCGCTGCCTCCTCGCCTGCTGCTTGGAGCCAAAGCTTCCAGCATCCCCCGTCTCTTTGAAGTTCTTTGCTTACAAAAGAATTGGGGGTTTGTAGAGAAACCCAGAGCCTCTGCCATGCACAGGGCAGGGGAAGGCTGCTACAGGTATGGAGTGTCCTGGGGATAACCATCCTCTCTTTGTGAGACCCAGGGCAGAGATGGAACGTGGCTATCTATAGCCTGGGGAGGGCTGCCAGCTCAAGTGCCCTTAATCCGGGCATGGCTGGCTCGGTGGCACGCCAGCTGTCACTGTGGTCAGGTACAGCATGTCAGCCTGGGCTCCAGCTGCACCCTGACACGCTGCCACACTTGTCAGTCAGTCTAAGGTACCAAGACAAACAGAAGGTTTTACTGTGCTTTTTTCCTCCAAAATCTCGGATTAGGTTTGCATTTCCAAGCAGCTGTAATCCAGGGCAAAACTCGCAGAGGCATCCTTCAGGTCAAATGCAGGGAAATACAAAGCAGAAGCCCAACTAAGATGCAATTTTGTTTGGGGTCAGGGCTGTTTGCAAGGCTCCTTGGTTTCTGTTGTAGTTCCAAACTGCAGCAAAACTCTCCAGCATCCCCCTTCCCTGCATTGGGCACTGGCCCTAGGAGAGGGCAGACCCACCACCACTGAAGTTCTTTAATTCACTGCTTCCTAAATTCACCTCAGAGACTTTTTGCTGAACAAGCCCCCATTTGCCCCCTTTCATCTTCTCTGTGAGCCAGGACAGGGCTGTCACACCAGGAGCCACCTCTGTGCCTGCAGGCAGGAACTGCTTTAGGAGGAGGAGAAGGGAACTGATGGCAACCGACAGGCTCGCCAGTGCTGCAAATTGTTGTTTAATTAAGGAGACGGGACATTGAGAGGAAGCTTAATTAAAGTTGCTCTCCAAACCCACTTATTATCCCATGAAGAGGCTGAGCTCAGCAGCAGCTCCTGATGCTGGGACAGCAACAGAAAATCCCTCTTGGTTTGCCTGCACTACACGTGTTTTCTCCTGGCATACATCATCCTTCAGCTACATCCTGACCAACAGAAAGCATTTTTCAGTGAAAATAAAATCAAAATGGGTTTATCCAGCTCCATTTGCAGAGGTGTATTTGCTTATCTGCTACCCTGGTCCTGGAGGCATCTGCCAGACACCAGCATTGCCTCTGCAGGTCCATGCATCCAGCCAGGGCATTTGGCACTTCTGGTGTTATTAATGACACCATACTGAGCTAATTGCATCCTCTCTGAGGTAGCATAAGGAAGGACAGAGAGCTGTCACCTTCATTTTGCTGGAAGGTCCGTTTTTCCCCCAGATCTCCTGTGACTTGATGGTGCATAATGAAATCCCTCCATCTATAATGTAGTGCAGAATTTCTTCCAAAGCACTGATGGATGCTTGATGCATCCCTCTGCCTAAAATATAACCTTTCTAGATAATCTTTCAATCTTTTAACAGAGTCAGAGACTCCTAAAAAATTCACATCTTCTCTCCACCTCAACTTTCCTTTCCTGGTGTGCATACTGAGCCCAGCAGAAAGGCTGCCACCCTGTGACACCCCCTCAGGGCAACATGGATTCATGGGAAAAAGGTTGAGGAGGGTTTGTTCCCCATCCTTTAGCTTCTCTGTTACAAGTTCCACAAATTCCTGGCAAGATCCCCTTAGCATGCACAGGCTTGAAATACTTCCCTGTGCTCTGTGGGACAGTGCACTGAGGCAAGCCAAGTCCATGAGGCCAGTGAAACACCCAAAACAACACCCCAAGTTCACAGTGGGCTCATTTCTGAGGTCTGGCCCATCAGCTCTTCAGCTTTGGCTTTGGGGTGGCATCAGGCAGATCAGTCACAGAACCACTGCAGTGGTGTCTTGGCCCAATGTGACAGCGCCCAAGCTTTCAGCAGCCCTTGGTGGCCATGGATCTGTGCCAGAGGCTGCCTGCAACTGGAGACTACCAGCACTGCCTCCAGCTGCAGATGGTCATGGAGCAGCAGCACTGCCACAGCTCTGTGAGGGACCTCAGCCCTGGGCAGCTTTGCACTGCACGGCATTGGATTGCACCGGATTGGGTTGGATTGCACTGGATTGGGTTGGATTGCACTGGGTTGGATTGCATCACATAACATTCCATTGGATTGCACTGCACTGGATTGCACTGGATTGGGTTGGGTTGCACTGGGTTGGGTTGGGGTGGGTTGCATTGCATTGCATTGGATCCCATTGGATTCCACGGGATTCAATTGGACCGGATTGCATTGGATTCTATTGGATTCCACTGAAGTGCAATTGCACTGCATTGGATTCCACTGGATTCCACTGGACTGCATTGGCTTTCATTGGGTCGGATTCTATTGGATTCCATTGCATTCCACCGCTCTGGGCAACACTGAGCGAACACGCCGTGCAGACCCACCGCGCATGCGCACCCCGACACACGTAACCCCGCCTCCCCGGGCCATGGCCCCGCCCCTACAAGCGCCAGGCCCCACCCCTAGAAGCAAGGCCCGCCCCTCTATTTGAAGCCCCGCCCCTCCCGCGCCCATAAAAGGGCT